GTATGTATGTATGTATGTATGTATGTATGTATGTATGTATGTATGTATGTATGTATGTATGTATGTATGTATGTATGTATATGTATGTATGTATGTATGTATGTATGTATGTATGTATGTATGTATGTATGTATGTATGTATGTATGTATGTATGTATGTATGTATGTATGTATGTATGTATGTATGTATGTATGTATGTATGTATGTATGTATGTATGTATGTATGTATGTATGTATGTATGTATGTATGTATGTATGTATGTATGTATGTATGTATGTATGTATGTATGTATGTATGTATGTATGTATGTATGTATGTATGTATGTATGTATGTATGTATGTATGTATGTATGTATGTATGTATGTATGTATGTATGTATGTATGTATGTATGTATGTATGTATGTATGTATGTATGTATGTATGTATGTATGTATGTATGTATGTATGTATGTATGTATGTATGTATGTATGTATGTATGTATGTATGTATGTATGTATGTATGTATGTATGTATGTATGTATGTATGTATGTATGTATGTATGTATGTATGTATGTATGTATGTATGTATGTATGTATGTATGTATGTATGTATGTATGTATGTATGTATGTATGTATGTATGTATGTATGTATGTATGTATGTATGTATGTATGTATGTATGTATGTATGTATGTATGTATGTATGTATGTATGTATGTATGTATGTATGTATGTATGTATGTATGTATGTATGTATGTATGTATGTATGTATGTATGTATTGTATGTATGTATGTATGTATGTATGTATGTATGTATGTATGTATGTATGTATATAGTCAAGTAAAAAAGTAAAGAACCCTTTTCCAAACCTTTAGGCGTATTGGGCATATAGGGCTAGACCTATATTTTATAGACCAATCGGCACTTGGTGAGTGATTTGGTAAACATCACGCCGTTTGTGTGTTTATGGTGTAATTATTGAAGATGTTTATGTTATTGGTATTACTGTTTCAAATAGTATCTTGCACACACTTCTTTTTTGGGGAGGGGGGAGAGGGGGGGGGGGGTTAATTGTTGTGATTGCGAGATTTGTTACAAGAACAGAGTCACAAGTGATCGAATGTAAGTTGCGACTGGTGAGACTATATCGAGTAACAAGAAGGAGAAAGATCAGAAGGGTTTAAGCAACGACTTCTCCAGCTGGATAAGTCGTTGTTTTGAGCGTTCAGCACTATATTTAATCTACAAGCATGATTTAGGGACAAATGCAACAGTAATTTCCCTCTGCCTTCGTCAGATGCTGTATGCTTTGACTCTAATAGCCTTTGTCAACAAGGAATCCATCGATCCATCGCAACCCCCCCCCCCCCCCCACCGCCTTTTTCCCTCCGGCACGTACCTAAGGGTTTACTATGTCATCTTTAGATTTAAAAATCAGATCGTTCTCCAGTGGATCCCGTCTCACTGCGGCAGATGCTTATCAGAAAATGTGTTAGCAGACAGACTTCCTAAAAATGGAACAAAGGAGAAACAACACACTCATCAACTGAAGAATCAAAGAGGAAAAAGATTTTAAAATCTTAATCTAGACGGAGCCCAGCGAGACAGGTTCCCGATATTCCGTTCTCTCTCCACAGAAGGTATATAAATTAGGGCAACGGTAACAGCTGTACCAGCAAGGTGCAAGCTGTAGTCCTTTGCGAGTAAGTAGGGGCCAGGGAGAAGTGGCAAGTTGTTGTGACCACTTTTTGTCACCTGATGGTTGTGTCATACGTTCGAGATCACAAAAGCGTCAAGCATGTTCGCCTACGCCAGTCGCAAAAAAGTACAAAATGATAATGATCTTCTTGTGGACAATGGTTTGATTCGTTAACAGAAATTCCACCGTTACTTTTACGCATGATTGTTCAAAGTGTAAACAGTTGGGGGTAAAGGTCATAGTTCAAACCGCCTCAAATTCATCAACATTGACTGTCTCATACAATACTGAGGACAGATCTGTTTTCTCACCAAAGTTCACAGTCCCAAACAAAATGCCGCTGTAACGTTGGTAAATAAAACTATCGACCGCACTATAGCTGTTCCAGGACGTCAACAAGTAATTAAATTACTAATTAGTAAGTTATTATTAACATCATCATCATTATCATCAGGTGCCTTGCCGACTGGCGTGGGCGATCATGTCTCTCCATAATCTACGATCTCTTGTAGTTGTAGCATGTATCAGTTCATGTGTCGACACACCTTCATGCCATGCAACAAGACTGTCAAGAATCTTCTCTCGTTGTCTTCCTCTATGCCTCCTTCCAAAGATCTTTCCAGTGGTCACCACATGTTTCATTTTCCCTTTTCTCACAACATGGGCGAAAAATGATGACTGTCTCCTTCTGATGTATGTGATAGGTTGTCTTCGGGCTCCCGCCTCTTTCAAAACCTCTTGGTTGCTCTTTTTGGCTGTCCAAGGTATTCTGGGCATTCTTCTTTAAAATCACATCTCTGAGGCCTCAAGAAATTGTTTGGCATGCCTACCGATTGTCCAGGATTCACAGCCATATGTTAAAACTGGATGTAGGCCTATGTAGCAAGCAAGAATTATTTTTCTTACTCTCAATGACAAGGATATATTGATTAGCAAATTAGCAGTAGTATTTCATTTATTCTCCAGTTACAACTTACAGCTGCTGGCCGAGCGGTTACAACTTACAGCTGCTGGCCGAGCGGTTACAACGTCTGGCTCTTATGCAGGACACCTGAGTTCAGCCACCGATAAGGTGATCGAGTTTTTCTGTCAGGGGCAAAATGAAACATCTAAACCTGCACAGTCCATGGCGGCAGCTCTAGCCAGGCGGCCCTGAATCCCCAGGCTCAAGGCCTTACTGTCTACACCGCCCTGAAAAGTTGTACAAAAGACAGTAGTGACACTGACAGTTTTAAACAAAGTATTTTTAATTCCAGTGTTAGTTCACTTACAGCATATGCCAGTGACAGTTGGAAACCCATGAGTAATAGTAATAATGAATAAAACCAAATATAAATTTTTTTTTTAAGCATCTATATCATCTACATCATAAACGGCTTCATACATGATACAAGTACAAGTCAAGTATTTTTTTAAAAAGTTAAGGACCCTTTTACAACGCCATTAGGCATAAAAGTCATATAGGGCTTGACCTATATTTTACAGACCAACTGGCACAAGATAGTTGATGTGGTCAGCATCAAGCCGGCCGCCTTTACTTCCCAGGACTGCACACGCTACCCACTCAAGGCTGGTCAACCTGGGAGCCAAGGTCATTTTTTAACAAGTCTGGCTCCGCCAGGGAGCGAACCCATAACCTTACGATCAGCAGACGAGCATCTAGCCGCTCCGCCATGGCGACTCCCCAAGTCAAGTATACCTTACTTAAGTTAAATTTAACAGTTGTTGTGGAGATGGTGCATCTGTTAATAATCTGTTCTCCTCTTATATCTCTTAACAATCTATACTCTCCCTGTACCTCTTAACAATCTAAAATATCTATATCTCTGTTTCAGTTACTACTGGAATCTCTTTGGATATGTATTATAATTTGATTCTTACCCCAGTCAATTAAATCTGAATACATTGAACAAAGTTAAACCCAGTATTGCTTTATTCAAGCATCATCATGCCTCCTACTGGGACCTAGATAGTTGTCATTTTAAACTTTGATTGAGAATTTTTGTTCCACAGTGACTAGTTCTCTATTTTTTTTTTTTTTTTTGGTTATTGAACCCCATTGTTACTTTTTATGCAAATGTCTTATTTCAACCTTACATTTTGATAAGTGATTGAGATGGACTTAACGGTACCTATGTCATGTAGATTCTTTTAATGTGAATCCTATCCCTAGTACAACTTGCCTCTGGGTATACCCAAAGGCAGCGTTGTGAGTGTACACACACACACACACATATATATATATATATATATATATATATATATATATATATATATATAGAGAGAGAGAGAGAAATAACAGTAATTGTTTACCTATATTGTGTTAATTAAGATTTCTTTGTTCAATAAAGAAAGTATGAATTATATTTACTATGCACTGGGCGCAAGTACTAAAACCATGTGGAATTATGTTTATTAAATGGACCAACATCATGGAACACGGGTGTAACATATAAGTGCTCCGTTCTTCTTCTAACTCACACCTGGGTCTGAAGCTCTCAGCACAGTGCATGAACTCTGTTGCACCAGTGAGGATACTGAAATACCTTTGGGTATATTTTTAACTCCTAATTTTGCCAAGGCAGAAACCATACACACGGGCGTCCGTTCTTACTACCCAGAGACCAGAGGGGAATTACTAGAAATGCGCTAGAAAAATCCCAGTCTTCACCGGGACTTGAACGCAGGACCTCTAGCACTCTAGGCGGACACTATGCCTCGAGACCACGCAGCCCTATATCATCATATGGGATAAAAAATTGTTTCTTATTCTCAGACCAGACAAAGACGCCCACCTGCAGATCGTGAGGTCGTGGGTTCGCTTTCTAACAGAGCCTGACTTTAAAAATAAATGATCTTGACTCCCAGGTCAACCCAGCCTTGAATGGGTACCAGATGCAGTCTTGGGAAGTAAAGGTGGCTGGCATGAAGCTGAACACATCACCCACCAAGTGCCGATCGGTCTATAAAACTATAGTTCTAGCCTTATATTTCTGATACCCCTAAAGGCATGGAAAAAGGACCTTTACTTTACTTTTATTTTCTAATTGCTCACTTATTTATCTTCGTATTGATAATTCATTCAATAAAATGTGGAGGTGGAATGTTGGGATTCAAACTCGTACCCATCACAAAAGCATTTATCCACATGGAATTCGTGACAGTGGGTTGGTTGTTGTGTATGATACTCTCTGTGTGTGAATTACTCTGGTATTGTTTTCATTTCAGAGTGATGTCCCTGTACTGCTCATGCATCAAAATGATAACAGTATGTTGATATTAACATTTGGCCGCTAAATGTAATGGCCAAGCTGATGTTACTTTGTTACAGATCTAGAAATATACTACCCCGTTTTCTGAGATTTATACCCCAGCAGCAGATAATAATGTCAAAATATAGTACAGAGACATTGTTCACAGATTCACAGCAAGCAGATTGCTATGCAAAATTTAGACCTCAGTACACTGATCAGGTCTTTCAAAGAATTATCGACTTCTGCAAAACTGGGTGCAGTGATTTTGACTTGGCTGTGGATGTTGGTTGTGGCTCTGGACAAAGCACGGTGCCGTTGGCTCGATACTTCAGAAAGGTATTCAGTGTGACCTTCCTTTGTTCTTGTTTGTGAATGAGTTTTGCAAATAAAATTTATGTTTCTCGTTGTGAATTGGTTGTAGCTGCTGTTTGAGATAGAGATGAAAAATATAGGATTTCTATGGCATCAGAGGAACCTTCAACCATCATCGTCAAGCGCCTTCTGACTGGGTTAGATGTTCATGTCTCTCCACAACCTGTGATCTTCAACAGCATGTAGCAGTTCATGTGTTGACACCCCTCCTGGCCACGGCAAAGGACTGTCAAGAATCTTCTTGCGTTGTCTTCCTCTGTCTCTTTTTGTACAGATCTTTCCAGTGGTCACAACATGTTTCAGTTTCCTTCTTCTCATAACATGACCAAAAAATGATAACTGTCTCTTTCTGATGTTTATGATAAGTTGCCTTTGAGCACCCGCCTCTTTAAAAACATTTAGGTTGCTTTTCTTAGCTGTCCAGGAAATTCAAAGGATTCTTCTGTAAAACCAAGTTATTAGGCCTCAAGAAATTGTTTGGCTTGTTTATGAATTGTCCAGGATTCACAGCCGTATGTTAACTCTTCGAGTCCCAGGGGGTTTAGCATCACAGGCCCAGGGGCTGGTAAAGAGAGTAATAAAATCGGCGCATGATGCGTTCATTGGGCTTTTAGTTAGGAACCTATGAACGTATGATGCGTTCCTTGGGACTCAAAGAGTTAAAGCTGGCTCTATATAGCATACAAGAATTCTTTTTTTCAACTCCATCAGCATTGATTTATTGGATAAAATGTTCTTTATTTGATAAAATGCAGTTTTGGCCTGTCCTATTTTACTCTTTATCTCTGTGATACATCTTCTGTCAGATGTTATCCATGTGCCTAGAGGCTTGAGTTTCTGCATTTGTCCTAAGATAATGCTCTTGACAGGTTTTGTACATTTAAGCACTATAATTTTCTTCAACATTATCATTACTTCTGTCTTCCCATCATTCAAGATGAAGCTTATTTTGTCAATTTCCGCCCCTACCATTTCTTTCAATTCCTGTAATTCTTTCTCACTTGTTGCTGTCAGGATGACGTCATCTGCAAAATACAGGTTGTTTATGTTTGGCCCACCAACCACAATTTGTGGTTTATCCACGATAGATCTCATTATATATTCACTGTAAAATGAAAACAAATTAGGTGATAGTTTGCATCCTTGTCTTACTCCCCTCTTTATGCTCTGAAATGTTCATAAATAGTTAATTCTTATAGCTGCAGTTTGCTGCAAATACATGTGCTTTATTATTTGTAGATCTTTTTCATCAGTTGTTAATTTTTCTAGTAGTTTGATTATTTCCTCATGGTTTATACAGTCAAGTGCTTTCATATAGTCAAGAAAGCATAAGTACAAACTGTTTTTTACTTTTACAACTCTGACAGAATCCTGAAGATGTATATTGCAATATTATTAAGTTTTCCTTCTACATATGTATATTGTTCTTCATTAATTTCCGGTTTAATCTTGGTTCTTCTTTCTCTTATAATTTATAATTATTTTCAGTCGCATTGTTGACAAATGGCTCAAAAGATTAATTGTGTGACAGTCTTCGCATTTTAAAGAGCCAGGTTTTTTTTGTAGAGCCCTAGCCTCATACAAATGGGTGTCAGACAATTTTCAGAATTGTATGGGAAGTTTCCAAGGCAGGAGGGCAACAAGAAAGGAAACTGTTCACTCCACCTCATATGCTGTGGACCAGATTGTGTGTAGGCCTAAAACTTTACAACCTGAAGGCAGTATATTTTGTGGAACTTTTTTTTTTAATGGACACTTGTTGGTAAAATTAGTTGTCATTTCGTATAAAACGTATTGACACAGAATTTATGGAAAGTCATTTTTCTGGGGGAAGGAGATCTAAAACTGCATAGACTAGAGCAGTGTTTCCTAAAGTTTTCTTGGCCACAGCGCCTTTTTTCAATTTAAAAATTTCCATGGCACCCTAACCTAAGTAAAAGTATGACTATTCATATGTAAGAGATAAAAAAAATAAAACTCATGTATCTTCAAATATTTTGCGGCACCCCTGGGGAGAGGTTGTGGCTTCCGGGTGCACCACGACGCACAGTTTGGAACTCACTGGACTTGAGAATTAGAGTTGGGACAGTATGGAAACAACATGACCAGACGTGTGGGAGGAGGTAGGAAAGATAAGAAGATTTGGTGCAGAGAAAGCACAAGACAAAGGCACAGCAGAAGATATAATTATGGCCAGCTACTTTGTGCAGACAGGGCTGGATTTGGACTTCATGAGGCCTTCAGCTGTATAAAGCCCTGAGACCCCTACCATTTTACATTACAGCAGCTAATCTCAAAAAAACTAAAATATATACTCCTTTTAAATATATGAATAAAGGAAATGTACTGTCTTTGAATTTTTTTAATAAGAAATGACAAAGAATGTTTGCAAAATCACAGAAACTATATTATATAAGCCTCTAAAGGGCTTCAAGTTATAACTTTAAATATTTTTGTTGGGAAAAATGTTTAATATATTAAAAGAAAATTTTCCTGTGTGGGTTCCGGGGCCCCATTGTAGGAAAAACAAGATTACTTACTGCCTCCGCAGCTAGCATGTTGTAAGAGTCTACTGACTGGGGGCTTCCTTTGATGTTGGAGTGTAACTGCCTGAGAGGCAGGGGACGAACAATCTACATACAGATAAGTCAGATCTGTAAAACATGTGCACGCAACACTCAGGTTCTGGAAAAAAACACCTAAGTCCAGAACATTCCACTAGAGTTTACAGTCAGTGAATGCAAAGAAAAAGAAGAAAAAGAAAACTGCATTTGTGAAAAAAAATAAACATTTGTTGGTTTTAAAATAACTGACACATTTTCTATCAAAGGTTATTGGTGTTGATGTCAGTGAGCAGCAAATTTTAAACGCTCCAACAAATATTCCGAACGTGACCTTTAAAGTGTCATCAGCTGAAGACTTGGGTTTCGTCAAAGCTGCTTCCACCGACTTAGTCACAATAGCACAGGCGTTTCACTGGGTCAATGAGGACAAGTAAGCAAACACACTAATATACATGCTCTTGGTATTTTGTTTTCATGGGTTCACACGCTGGAGATCCAGGTTTGAATCCTTCTGTTAGGTTATGGTTTTTGTGTGTGTGTGGCCGGGATGGAAAGGGAAAGGGGGAGAGGGGTAGGGGGTAAAACAAAAGTGAAATCCTAACCTGCATAGCATAGTCTGATAGGACTCACTAGCCATAGGATCATAAATCCTCATACTTCCTATTTGCACTGCAAAAGTGTTAAGTAAAGTAAAGGACCCTTTTCAACACCTTCAGGCATATAGGGCTAGACCTCTATTCTTATTGACATCACAGCATTTGGGACACTCCCATAAGTGCTCAGTCCCTTTTTTCAGCAGCAAGTGAAGCGTTCCAATTCTGATGGTACCAGTAATCGTCTGATTGTATATCCATCTCATCCTTTCCCTGAGTGTTCAGCGTTGGCCGGATCCCCTGGTAACTATTCGCAGCACCATTCTCCTTAGACTGTAATGATTTATTTGCGCTTCCGCACTGTTCACTTGCTCCCAAAGGGCCCTCATAATATCTAACTTGTCAGACATCAGTTTACCACCAAGTGGTGCAGAGCCAGTCAGTTTATCTACCTGCTATTTTCCCAACACACCGACATGACCTGCAGAAACTATCCAAAGGATGCTAACTACCCAGAACCTCTGAAGCGATGCTTGCCACTCTGCACAAAGCATGCCTGTTTTCAAAGTTCTCAACATGCTCTGTGAGTCAGTTACATTTACAGCATGTGTGTACAGCTGATTCACAAGCCAGCGGAAGGCAGCAGAGACTGCCTCCACCTCCATTCTTAAACTAGACAGTGTGATATCGTATGCAAGGCTTTGCTGCACTAGGCGATGCCCATTCACCTTTGCTAAGAACCTTCATGCACTTAGTCTGCACCTTAACACAGAGCATTCTGTATAGATAATCACATCACCTGGGCGAGAATTGTCATGAATCATTTGTTGAACTTCTGATTCTGCAGCACCAGCTGGCCAGTCTCTGCACTCATGACCTAAAGTGATTAGATCCCCTACACAAGTCTGGAACTTGTTCGGACACCTTGACCCACTCCTCTCCTCGCTCAAAATTATCAAGCCTGCACACATGTCTGATTGTGTCTTCAGCTTGCGCCATCCAAGACCGTCCTCTTTTCAGTCTGTTACACTTAGCTGTACCCAAGGCTTCATGCAGGAGGTGCTTCTTGTCTGCAGCTACTCTGAGATATGACTTTGCATGCAGAACTTTGAGCCTCTCTGCAATAGTAGGCAGTGCAAGTATATATTGCATACATACTAGCGTGTTATCTCTTGTACATCCCAGAATTACCCACACGGCTTCATTCTGTATGTTTTAAAGTTTTATCAGCTGACTCTTTGATATGGTAGGCATTCCAAGTCCATAATCTATCCTGACAGGATCACATGCTGGAACATTGTAAACAGCATTCTTTGTTAAATGTCCATTGCTGCCATTCTTGTGAGGATTGGGTCCTTTTTAGCTATTTCACCACAACTGCCTCCAAGTGATCCCTATTGGACAGGCTTCTATCGAAAGTGATACCCAGGTACCTTAGTTTGTTTTCTCTATGATGTTACTGTTATTAACTGTGAGGCTAGGAAAATCAGCTTTTACAGTTACATTGTCCAGAAAACACTACAAAACAGCCGCCTTGTCTGAGTTGATGACAACACCCATTTCTGCACACCAATCAGCCACTTTGTCTACAGTCGCCTGCAGCTCTTGAGCTTTCAGTTGTCTGTCATTCCCTTGTCTGTATGCAAGAACATAATCAGCAAATGTCAATATCCTTCCAACACATGGTGCTTCAAGTTCTGCAATCTTGCTTGTATACACATTAAAGACCCTCCATTGTGTAGACCAACTGGTACTGGGTGTGTAAAAAAGTTAAAGTAAACCTGGTACTGGGTGGTTGATTTAATCAACTTCATGCTACCTGCCTTTACTTCCCAGGACTCGTATCCGGTACCCATTTAAGGCTGGGTCGACCTGGGCGCCAAGGTCTTTTTTTTAAAAAACTTTTGGCTCCATAATGTCCTGATCCCACGACCTTCGGATCTGCAGGCGAGCATCTAGCCACTACAGAATGGAAGCTCCCAGAAGTGGTAAATACAGATGGTAATGAGAGTGTTTTTATTTTGAAAAAGAAAATACATTTATTATTATTATGTATGACTGTTTAGCTTAGACTTTAGTGATTGTGTTTGTCTGTTCTCCAAGCACTATCAAGCAAAAAACAAGACAAACTAATTGCAGATCTAAGGACCAACATGGCTCACTTTCCAAGGAAGCAGAACTGGTCTTACAGTGGATACAAGTCCACTGTGGTATTCAGGGAAATGAGAGAGCAGATGAGCTGGCAAAAGCTGGGAGTAATCTTCTAGAACCTTATCCACCACACAGCTACAAGGAAACCAAAACAGCGCTAAAGCAGTCTTTTAAGCGGGAGTGGAGAAGGCAGAATGGAGATTACAGACCAGAGAGTGACAGCATAAACAAACTTAACAGGAAAAAAAACACATCAATTTTGATACTTTGGACAGGACACTGTGGTCTTCAAACACACCTGCACAGGATAGGCATAAAAGAATCTGCTGCCTGTGATTGTGGAGCAGAAAGACAGACCCCTGAGCACATACTGCAGTACTGCCCTAACTTTGCCCAGCAAAGACTGTGGATCTGGCCCAAGGAAGCCACACTGCAAGAGAAGCTATGGGGGACCGGTGGCACAGTCCTATTTGTGACGCAAAGGGTACTCACTGTTTAGCATGACTGATGTCGAACGCAGAAGAAGAAGTGATTGTGTTTTGTAGTCTTTGAGTACCAGGGTTTGACTTTACTGGCATGCAGTTAAGAAAAACCATTCCCCTGGCTTTCAGCCAGTGCTATTATACCATGGAAAAGATTGGGGTGAGACTGCAGCACATTCACTGCAACCAACCTCCATAATGTAAACAAATTTAGCCCAGGGATACAAACCTACAGGACCAAATTTAGGAAATCAACGGAACACTCACGCTCACAAACATGCACAAGTAACCATTCATCACTAGAGCTAAAATAAACATGCTTAACTTTGGCCGGCAAGTTCATGATTCAAAATATGTTTTAAACTTGGGAGGATAGAAAAGATATGGGACAAATATTTTGTTAAAGTGCCTCAGAAGAAATCTCCAGCTTGAGAAATGTCACCTCTTGAAACTGAGGTCAGTTAATTGTCATTATGGTCTGTTGAAAGATGAATAATGTCTTCAATGCTTCTTCTTCTTTGGCATTCATCCATTAAAAAAAATTATTGGCAAATTAACTAGTGGTGTACAGTTAGTCTGTCTTATCTACACCTCTTGACCCAGTACATCCGATTCCAGTAAGCCCCTAATTTATCACCTTTTTGCAACATGAAGAATGGGGCAGTCGGTCTATTCCTTAAAGTGTAAAAAATGCATCAACATAAGCGCTAAAAACTACCATCATAAAATAATTGGTCTGACATTGTTAATTTAAATATTTTTTTAAGTTTGGTATCGTGACCCGTTAAATCCAAAATAGTTTCATGAAACTCACACTTGAGAAAAAGACCAATAAAATAGAATTCAGCGGATTTGATAAGTTGTCTAGACTGACAGAAGAAGATAGATATTGCAATAAATATTGACACTTATATTTCCCAGATTTTTTGCTGATGTGAGCCGAATTCTGAAGCCAGGCGGATCTTTAGTGGTTTATGGCTATGGGATTTGTGAACTTCTTCCAAAAGAAGCAGATGGAGTTTTTCAACATGTAAGCTTTTAGTTAGAATTGTTATTATTCCTTTTGTACACAGGGGAGTTACATAGCCATAGACCAGGAGGCAGACCAAAGAAATAATATACAGATAGACCTACCCACACTTGGAGTCACCAACTGAAATAGAAGGCCAGTCACAGAAATAAGTGGAAGCATGTGATATCTGCAGCAATGAACCTCAAGGATGATCCTGGGCTGCTTGTTAAAATTATACTTTTTTTAGTCATTAGTTTTAGAACTGTTTATATTAATTATGAAAGTGAAACAATTATTTGACAGAAATGGCAGGATCTTTTCTCAAGTATGACTCTGGAATCAACCCAGTCTTATAAAAATGGATACCAGATTATTTCTAGAATGTTATGGGAATTATTTGGGATGGAAAGATGATAAAGAAAGGAATGGATTTCCCACCTTTGTAGGTCATGGCCTAGAAATGTGTGAAGGCTAACATGTGACAATCTAAAGGTAGTAACTACTATGGGGCTACGTTAACCTGAACACACTGAATTAGAAATTGATTAAATTACAGTAGTTACTCATGAAATAAGGTGCGGAGGAAAGCTGCCAACTTAACCTTCTGAGACAAAGTAAGATCTGGTACTATCAGACAGACTGTGGGAGTGAGACTATGAACTAAATTTATTGACAAACAGGTCGTCACATATTTGTATCATCTCATTAGAATGCAGCCATAACAACTACACATGAAAAGATCTGATGTGAAGACAAGAGATTGCCCTAGAAAAACATCGATTGATGACATTAAAGACCTTTAACATCAATACGAAATGACAATAGCCATTACTGCCAGTTAAACAGTGAAAGGCACATTATTCCTCCCCTTGACGCTCAACAGTAAAATTGGAAATTTATGATAACTTGATAGCAGAAGTAAATTAGCACCTTTTTAAATCTGTGAAACATTTGACTTGTTCATTCCAGCTGCTAGCAATTTAGCAACAGACTGGTTTGCATTGATGTTGACAAAGGCATTTAGATCTGACCATTAAGAAAGCAATGGCAAACTATAAACATTGCCTTGGAAAACAGCTGATAAATGCTGGGGTTGGTTTGCAATGACCTCTAAAAGGTTACGCAACAAACTTTTCTAAAATGTCAGTGTAAGGAAGAGAAAGACACTTTTTATTTAAAGACTATATACCATGTTTTGTCATTTCCATATTGTGATAATCTGCAATGAAGGTTGGCTGTAGTAGACATTGCATCCAAATCTGTCTTTGGGAATAGTTTGTGCTGAGAACAGCCAGACTTGTGTAATGTCATAACCACATTGAGCCAGAAGTGCCTGGAGTGGCCGGCAGGTACCAGAGCTAGAAATTCAGCAGTTAATTCAAGATAATGCTCGCTCCCATGATGTGATTATTTATACAGATGGTTCAGTGTCAAGAGACAAATGAAGTGCCTGGGGGTTCTTAGCAAAAGCTAATGTCGACGTTTGGTGCAGGAGAACCTTGCATTTGATACCATAACATCCTGCTTAAGGATGGAGGTTTAGGCTGTCACTGCAACTTTCCGCTGGCTAGTAAACATGGTACAAACATACATCAAGATTGTAACTGATTCACAAAGCATGCTGAGGAAGGTGAGTACAAGCATGCTTCGTGCAGAGTGGCATGCTTTGTTTCGGAGGTCACAGGTGAAGAGCATTGTCTGGATCTTTTCTCTGAGGCATGCATGTGTGTTGGGAAATGAACAGATAGACAGATTGACTGGCTCTGCACAACTTGGTGGAAAATTGATGCTTGACAAAGCAGACTTGGTTAAGACCTTATGGGAGCACATGTATAATTCAGAACAGCAAATTAATTATCACAGTCTGGTGAGAGTGATGCAGCGGGGAGTAACAAGGGGATTCGGCCGATATTCGAGGAGAGACAAGACAGACATATAATCAGACTGCTACTGGCATCATTTGTATTGGAACTCTGCGCTGGCTGCTGAAGATGGGGATAGAGTGCTTATGGGAATGCCCTGAGGGCTGTGATGTCAGCTCTTGAATCAGCTCAGCTCAACTCATGATGAGGTCCAGTCTATTCCTTGGTACAACTCTTGTACCACAATCCATAAACCAAGAGAACAGTCTTTTTCTAAATCACTCGTCATGAATATAGAACCCAAGAACTCAAATATATTGAAATGTGTTTCTGGAGCTGCACTATTTATATTAACAGTCACTGAAATATTTTGCAGTATTACGCCGATGTTCTTGGCCAGTATTGGGCTGAGGGTCGACAGATGGTCGAAGAGAAATATGCCACTGTCCGTCTGCCATTTCCAGGCTGGATCAGGTCAGAGTTTATGTCTGCAACTATTCTGCTTTGAACTCCTGAGCTCCCCAGAAGAAACACACACAAACTTGACCCAGTGCCTCTTAACAGACATGTTGTCAAACTGATTAATTAAGGATTTGCTAAAATGAGATGTTCTGGTCCAAAAGGCAGTGTAGCAGTAAATAGAATAACAATAAACCACAAAACAGCATGCCTGCTGCCTTTTCAAGTGTGAATGTGGAAGGAAGAATAAAAGATCGACCAAGAAATCTTAAACCTGCCAGTCAACAGATACCTATCCTGCTTTATTTATTTGCTATGTTAATGATTACATATCATTACATTTTATTTATTAGAGTTATAAATATGTACATGAGCGAGGTCCACTTTGCATACTATACCTTATTATTAGGTCTTTCAGTCCCAAGCAACAAACTGTGTGCTCTTTTACATTTACCATTTGGTCAGAACATACTAGAGAAATCTGGCTTCCCCCATTGTTCACTACAACTATGTATATTGCCACTTTGAAAGTAAAGCATTCACGATTTAGCATCATGATTATTTTGCCACTGTGGTATCTCCTGTGAAACCTTCTGGTATTGACAGAGTTCATAAATACGTAATGAGTTAAAATGGTACAGACTTTAAACGATTTAAAATCAAGAGGATGAACTTTGTGGCACTTGGTTTTATCCCATATGGCTCCTATCTAAAAAGAACAGCTAGCTGGCAACTGAGAGCATCTCACAATGCATGAATCCGTTAGATCCAGGGACGATACCCAGGGTTCTCTGTGAAAATTGCACTTGGGAACTGAATGCCACCCACAAGATGAACCCACACGCTTCAGAACACAAGACAAAAGGCTTGACCACTCAGCCACAGAGATATGTATAAAAGAAGATCTGAGAGAAGCTTTGATATGCCCCACAGAGATGACAGTTTAGTCATCGAGAAGCAATGCAGCGTGGCTGACTTCATTGGGTACATGGGTTCATGGTCAGCTATCATCCAGTACAACAAGGTCAACCCTGATGACAACTTGTTGAAACAGGTGGAGCAGAGGTGAGCACATACTCATGTTCTATTTAAGTGATATATCATTTGAAGGCTAGTGGTCTTATCACCATTAGTTATCAATAGATTGATAGCCAGATATTAGTAACATATCATTGTTTGTTACAAGTAGCAAGATACGATGAATCCTAAATCTAACTAGGAGTGAAAGTATCAGAAATTGACGATAACATGAAGAAGATGGGAGGGAACCATTAATAACTACATCAAGAAACAACAGATCAAATGGTTTGGTCGTGTGTCGTGACTACCATTAGACAGTACACCACAGAGAGCCCTGTCACTTGAACATAATGGATACAGATGTAGAGGCCAACCACACAAGTGATGGATAGTTGGAATATCTAATGCCAAAAATACCAGCATCTATGTAGCACTTACCACAGCTCGCACCTGATGACTCTTCAAAACCTGACGCTGAAAGACAGAACAGGACTAGAGAAGAAAAAGAAGAATAATGAAATACGTCATTGTCAGTTACTAATTGATCATCATCATCATCATCATCATGTGCCCTGCCAACTGGCAAAGGCACTCATGCATCTCCACAGATCATGATCCCTGGTTGCCTGGAACAGCTCTCTTGATGAGATCCCTCCATGCTATCGTTTCAGCCCATCTTTAGTCTGCCTCTACCCCCTTTTCCACTGATCTTTCCAGTTGTCACGATGTTCTCCAATGTCTCTCTTCTCATGATGTGGCCAAAGAACAGTGTTTGTCTCTTTCTTATTGTTGCATATAGAGATCTACTTTCATTAGCTTCTTTCAGGTAATTGTTGTTAGTTACTCTGGCCATCCAAGGTATTCGTAACATTTGTCGCAGAAACCACAACTCTCTAATTGATAGAAATTCATAATATAACACTGTCAGATATCAAAAGAATTAATAGTGATAGTACGTGTGTGAGTGGTCTCAAAGCATGGCTTCCACCTCAAGTGCTGGTGGTCCCAGGTTCAGGCCCTGGTAAAGGTTGGGATTTTTTCACGTGGGCTTCTAGTAATTTCCCTTTGTCTCTGGGTAGTGAGATCAGACCCCCGTGTGTATTGTTGGGCGTGTAAAAAAATCCCTTTACAGTTGGAAATTGAAAAGAGTAGCCTAACCGCGCTGCCCAGGAAAAATTTGCTGTTAAAAATCTACCTAAAGTATTTCAGGATCCTCTCCGGTGCTACGGAGTTTATGCACTGCACTGAGATTCTTCTGACTCAGGCATCAGATTAAAGTAGAATGGAGCACTTAAAGGCTATCACCCTTGTGCCATGATGTTAATCCATTGTATAAACATAAGCAGTGGCATTTCTGACAGACGCAAGTGCGGTGTTTCAGGCACTCTAATCTACAAAACTACCTGGTATACGAACACTACTCTCCAAACTAGGCAGTCAGTGTATGGTTACTATGCAATGGATACCATTCCACTGTGGAGTTTCCGGAAATGAAAGAACTGAAAAATTAGCTAAGGAAGGTGCAAATGAAAAACAACCTGACGTACCTGTCTCTTATCAACAAAAGAAGAAAATAATCAAATCAATCAGAAAGCCACCAAAACAGGCACAAGACAATTACCAATTTATGGACAGACCAAAACAAGTTATTATTCTACGCCTTAGAACAGGACACAATCGACTTCGCAGCCACACGTACACAAAATTTAAAATTGGCGAATCAGCCATGTGTACATGTGGATTCGCACCTGAGACAACAGATCATGTCCTCCAAGACTGTCCCAAATACAACATATCAAGGCAAAACTTTTGGCCAAGAGAAACATCGGTGCACGTCAAACTTTACAGGTCACAGAGTGCATTATAAAAGACAAGGAAGTTTATACTAGAGACAACATTGCAGATATAGAAAATTTATTTCAAGCGAACGAAAGAAAAAGGAGGAGAAAAAATAGTGGTGATATGTTAATTACCACAGTAGTGTATTGAAGTACCAATGGACGATAGTGATGATTCATCACTGTTAGTTACCATTATAAAGAGTGGTGCTGTTTCAAAGTTACTAAGAGATGAGATCTAGTGATATACCACTTATAGTTACTAATATATTACATTTGAAGCATAGCAGTTATATTCACTCATAGAAACATACAGTAAGATACCCAAGTTTGAGTTATTGTTGCAGAAAAACTCAGATGAAATATAATGTAGTATTGAGTAGAAAGGCCATGTGAGATAGCAAAGCCCTATACCCAAAACCAGTATGTTTTAAGGAAGTTCGTATAAATCAAGGATTCTTTTCATGCGGTGACATATTGGGAATTCGATGCTAGAGGTATTTTTTAGACTGGTTGTCACTCAGTGGGTGATGTGGTCAACATCATACCAGTCACCTTTACCTCCCAGGACTTTACCTTGTACCCACTTTAGGCTGAGTCAACCTGGGAGCCAACATCATGAAGAAGTAAAAAGGGACAATCAGGCCAGCTGATGCAAGTCTATCCGCTGCACCACCGTGGCTTCCAAATTTAGTATATTTTCTCTTTATGATTTAATGGAATGTGTCCGCTTTTGAGTTTAACTGGTGTACTTTGCTGTGGATTATATTGTAACTAACAAATCAGAAATAGATATAAAATAGCAAAGTAACTTAAAACTCTTTTATATTCCACTTTTTAATTTATTTGTTTTTCTTTCAGACTCCAAGCTGTATGCAACAGTGATACAGAAAGTGTTGAGTCTAAACTGACAGTTGTATGGCCAGTTTTTATGTTGATGGGACACAAACCAAAATAAAATCCATCAGTATTTTGGAGGCTTCTTTCTGGCCTGTGATCATATGTGATTATAATTTTTTTTTTAAATTCTCATGCTGATTTTGTGCTGGGCTTGACTGAGCTTATTTAGTATTGTGTGTTCCCCGTGTGGGTTCTGAGGTCCCATTTCATGGAGAAAAAAGAAATGGCCTACTCCTCCTAACAAGAATGAGGTACAGGGAGACTACTCAGGGGTGTTTTCTTTGAAGTCGGAGTGCGTCTGCCTGAGAGGGAAGGAACCAGCAGTCTGCATAAACATAAGCCAGATGTGTATAAAAGATGTGGTGCAAAGCTCAAGTTCTGAAACAAGACCAAAGTCCGAAAGCGAACAAACAGGCAGAACTTTCTGCCAGAGTTTAGAGACAGTGAATGCTAAGAAGAGGATGAGTTGTTGTGGGTAAATTTGTTAGCTCCATATGTGTAGACCAGTTATCTTCTGACTGATGTGGTTATTATCATAGCAGATGTTTTTACTTCCCAGAACATTTGTTGTTTATATTTGATTCTGGGTCATTCTAAAAGAGAAAAAAAAACTGGATAAATTGTGTAGCCGAAACCTGCAAAAAAGAAGCGCAGGGCATATACAGAAAACCACAACACTAGGCTACAACCTAGTATCAGTGAGATGACAAAACAACAACATTGGGCTACAACCTGGTAACAGTGAGACGACGAAAGAAGCGCTGGACAAATACAGAAAACCACGACTCTTGCCTGGTATTAGTGAGATGACAAAAGAACAAGAAGAAATCCAGAAGAGCAGGTTAATTGTTTAAAAATCCTGGCTCAATAAAATCAGTAGGTTAAACAAGGAAGCATGCTGGACTCTGCACTACTGGTAATCTTAACTCTTTTAGTACTATGGGGATATTATTTAAATTCCTTGTTTTGCAGAATGTTTTTATGAATCAGATTAGCACCTGAGACAACAGATCATGTTCTCCAAGGCTGTCCCAAATACAACATATCAATACAAAACTTCAACATAATAAAGACAACATTGCACATATAGATCATCTGTTTCAAGTGAGTGACAAAAGAAGAAAAAGAGGAGTAATAAAAATTTGAGGTCAACATGTACTAAAATAATAACGTTGTCAGAAAGAAGGAGTTAAAGCAACAGGTCAGTGAGAGTTTATATAACAACTGGATGTGACATGAGGGGTAAAGAAACATGTATAATGTATGAAGAACCCAGTAAACATGATGAGCCACTTGGTACTGAATGAGTTAAAGAATATTACTGATAAACATAAAAAAACAAATCAGACAGTCTTTCAGAAAGTCATTAAAAAAAAAACCATACAGTGAGATGTAGACAGTACTGACTTTTAGGCATGTACTTGTTATGAGGAGAAATAAATGTGAAAACCTAGAAACTGTTGACAAACTCGATAGGGATGAAGGACAAAGAAGAAACAACACGCCCATTCATTGTCATTACCAGAAATCAAAACACTTATCACAGGAAAATACCAAGGATTGTGGAGAGAACAAACTAACAGTAAACATCCACAAGACCCCATCAGCAGACAAACTCGATAGGGATGAAGGACAAAGAAGAAACAACACGCCCATTCATTGTCATTACCAGAAATCAAAACACTTATCAAAGGAAAATACCAAGGATTGTGGAGAGAACAAACTAACAGTAAACATCCACAAGACCCCATCAGCAGACTCAACAGAAAGCAACATACAACAATTTCCGATAGGGATGAAGGATAAAGTCAGAGAAACACATGGTGTAATCAGAACTAAACCCCACTTGATCCAAGATTCTGGTGACTAAGTGAAATCAAGAACCATTATAATGATGGGCATGGCACACTGTGATGAGGATATTTCTGTTTATTATATCACGCAGAGATCTGTTCATTTTTTCGTTAATCAGAAATGTAATCAGCCTTAAGCTTGATGATTTATTGATTGTTGAGTCATACTGCAGCAAATGGTTGTATTTATTTATCCATTTGCTGTGAGTGTCTCAAGGGCAGGATGGTCAACCCATTTGCATTGTCTTTACATGAGATCAATCTTCATGAAAATCTTATCCTAGTTTGTTGAGGATTGTGAAACATGCTTCATAATCTCTAAGCTACAGAGCCACACATTTAATATGTAAAAACAATTTTAAAACAATACAAACAGGTTGAAAAAAAAATATATATATATATATATTTATGCAGGAATAAAATCCTTTATTTAATTTTCTCTCTATAATGTTAATGATACATTTTACATAAACATCTGTTACATCAAATGCATCTTTCTTCTTGCAGGACACAATCAGAAACAAGCCATCACTTTCAACTGCTTAGTTTTGCTTGTAAAGCAGTTATTCAGCATTGACTAAAGCCCAGCTGATGGGTTGAATGTCTTATAGGCTTATAACATTTAACTACCCACTTTTCCGCATATGCCTGAAAGGACTCCTAAAAGACTGTTAATATTTTCAGTCTCAAGATTTTATTATTAACACCTTTCTGTTTTTCCAGATGATAGTGTTATAATGCGCTGAAGGGAAGCATGCAAATCACAGCCCATGATATTTTGTAGTAATGTTCACATTAACAGAAACCAAAATTGAAAATCCCCTAGTGTATCCTTTCAAATGCACAGTATAGATACTCTGGCATATCTTCAAATATCTAGCCAGAATTTGTTAATATGGTAATTCCAAATATAAAATGTACACCATTACATCATGTTTAGTACATATGAACAATGGGTAATTACATATTACATTCCTTATAACAAAAGTATTGAATATTCTAGGCGTCTGTTATTTGTAAAATCTGAGATGGATAAAATCATGCCCAGTTTTTTGTATGAGCTGAATCTTGAAGGCATTGAATGCAAGAGACAGTTATAGTGGAATTTAGAAAAACTATAACTAATTAACAAAGTTTATAAGAGTCGTCTAATAGGGTCTTCTTTCGAAGTCAGAGAAAGAGGCGAAGACAAAAAAACAAACCATACCATATACATCAGAAAAAGGCAGTCAACACTGATTGGCCATATGAGAGGAAAAACTGGAACACATTGTCATAGCTGATAATTGTTGACTGTCATCATGGAATGGAAATTATCTGCACATTTGTTGATAATTCTGTTTTGGTCATGAATTGTGGAGAATCTGGAAACCACGAGTTGACAAAGCATTTATTAGAAGATGATGAACGTGATAAAACATAGGATTTTATAGATAACACATTTTACGCATTGGTACATTAAAGTTACAACATTGTTATTTTTATATCAGAAAAATATACACAATACATTTTTTAAACCTTGCAAATTTGGTCTCAGTTACCCTATTTCTGGCCGAGCGGTTAGACACTTAAGCTGTTGTGCGGGAGACACAGATTTGATCCTCAGTAAAAGATGGAATTCTTTTTCTGTTGGCAGCGAAAATAAAAATCTTAACCTGCCCAGTTTATGGCGATTTCATTCTTTGTGGAGCCTTAAATCTTTAGGCTCATTACTTCCCTTATCCTGCACCAGTGAAGTGGTAGAGACAGACCTTGTTTCTTTATCTACACAGGTGTTGGTTTACAAGTAAGTAAAAAGTGAAGTGTAGAGAAGCAGTTTCGGGTAGCTGGGGGGCAGTTTTATGGTACTCAGTAAAGATAGTGCTTATCACTGACCTTAACCAGCTATTCCAATCAGTGATCAGTGGAAAGTTTATCCCAGTATTAGAACCAGTTATCTCTCAGTGATAGTTTATCACTTAGAACCAGCTATCTCTCAGTGATAGTTTCTCACTTAGAACCAGCTATCCCTCAGTTATAGTTTATCACTTAGAACTAGCCATCCCTCAGTGATAGTTTATCACTTAGAACCAGCTATCCCTCAGTCATAGTTTATCACTTAGAACTAGTTATCTCTCAGTGATAGTTTATCACTTAGAACCAGCTATCCCTCAGTGATAGTTTATCACTTAGAACTAGTTATCTCTCAGTGATAGTTTATCACTTAGAACCAGCTATCCCTCAGTGATAGTTTATCACTTAAAACCAGTTATCTCTGAGTGTGAGCCCCTTGGGTGGTAAGTATACTTACTTCAAGGAATGATACACAGTCGTATTGGAAAAGTTAATACATATTCACAATATTTAACAGTCTAAACAAAATGTAGACTGCTCCAAAACTGCAAAGCATTATTAAAGTGTTTACAGTGTGTAAATAAATGAGTGATAAAAACCAAAAAAAAAACAAAAACAAAATTACATGGCAGAAAATATTTTTACCCCCCAAAAAATAAAAGAAAACAATGTAAAAGTGATGACTGTCAGGAAATATGAATGTCTGAAATCTTTATTTAAATTTTGTTAAAATATAATTACTGTATTTCAGTAATTAATTTTCTTATTAATTTATGCTGTTTACAAGAATGCTCAGAAATTAACTCCTTAAAATAGAAGATATCTGGGAAAACTGAATAGGTCTTCAAAAAATTTTTTATGCTACTTCAACCTATTCAGATCATATGTTTATTGTGGGTTCCTTCCAAGGCTGCATTTTTATTTGGGAAAGGGGGGGGGGGGGGGGTGGCGGGGGAGATAATAGACCTAATACCCATTCAGATCATATGTTTATTGTGGGTTCAAAGGCCACATTTTTGGCAGGGGGGAAAGAATAGAACTAATATCCCCCTTAACAAGCATGTTGTAAAAGTCAGCTAATAAGACGTATATCCTTCAAAGTTAGAGTGCATGTCCCTGAGAGGCGAGGAACCGTTTTCATACAGTTAAGCCAAATCTGTGAAACAGATGTGCATGCAACACCCAGTTTGGGAATAATACTAAAGTCCAAAAGTGGGCAACCAACAAGAACTTTCCTCCGGAGTTTACAGCCAATGAATGCATAGAATAAGAAGGAGATATGTTTATTGGGGACACAAAATACTTTTCCTAATTCATTCTGTCACATTCATTCACACTAATTCAAAAGTTTATTACTTGAAACTAATTATTA